CTGGGCCCCTTCGGGCCCCAGAAGCTGACATATTAAATTTCACAGCCAGATAATGAAATTATTTTACAAATAATTTCTGTTATTGGCTGCTTCGCATCCAATAACTATATAGTATCGATCACATTTTAGTACATTTTATTGTCTTGTGCATAAGTAATAAATAATTGGTTTCCTAATTTTAATGCTTACGACCAGAGTTAAATTGACAGTGCAATAAGAAAGTCTCTCCCTTGTTGTAACTATACACAATTAAGATTTTTTTAAACTCAAACTTAATTCCGAAATACGTATTTTCTTTTTTTTTTTTAATTCTGAAACTCCTTATTGAATGATTTTGTTAAATAACAAAAGAACCTGAGAATTATTTAGTAATGACGCATCTCAGAGCGGTTAATTTTGGTGATTCAAATTTAAGAGGTAAATCGCAGTTAAAGGGTATAAAATATAGCAAATTTAATAGTAGAAATTGTCGGAAGTTAATATAATTTTTCTATAGGGGTAGAATGCAGATAACGTACAATGAAAAGTTTTTTTATGCCAAGTAAATCTTCTTTGAGTTTCTAACAAATAATATAGAGCTAGCTATTCCGGTTCTAATGGTGGCAGAATTATTTAACTTGGTTTAATAGATTGCGAGTTATTGACATTTTCACCTTCACGACTATATGACTTTAACATATTGCCAGAAACTTTCGGCATGCCAACGTTATATGAAAGTAATTTGAATTTTGCCGATTTTTACTATGAAATTTATATCCTTCAATTGCGATCTACCACATAATGATTTTAATCGATCATAATCAACCATATCGATTATAGTACTTTGCAAAAAGGTGTGATCCTGTGATTTTAGTGGTAATTAAGCAGAAAATTTCAGATACGTATTCTAGATTGTCTATCGATATAGAATACTATCGTTATAAGGTACCAATCAATATCAGGGTAATAACAGATCAAGGGTCATATACAAGATCTTGGTCTTTTACATTCCACCAAAAAAAATTAATTAGTAAAAAATGAGGAGGATCTGATTAGGAATGATAACTATTCAATCGACTCTATTCATTAATCGGTTTTTATCATAATAATAAATACAGTATACAAGCTGGATCAAGTCGTTAGCATCCTTAGATCTGATATATGGAGATCATGTATATGGCCCCTACTGTAATAAAGTAGTATAAAATAATAACGACAGTTCTAACACAAGATCTTAACCGGAGGTCAATATATAAAACAATAAAGATTGAAACATCAATAAAAATATAAATATTTCTTCAGAAATTTTTTGATTAGCAAAGAAATTATTTACGTACCTAACTAATCATGATTCAATAATTATGCCAAATATAGAGGTGTGAAATTAATGCTAGTACTTTTCTGATGTAATTATCGTGTGCCTTTTATATGTAGACATCAAAAATACAACTTTAATGTGATACAAAAATTTTGTATTTAAAGGAATTTAGTCTAACGTCAAATGTTAAACTCTTTTAAATGAGACCAAAAAGAGGAAATACACCTAAAAAGTCTGAAGACGATGACTTTTCTAATGAACATATTGCTGCTTCATCATCAAGTGGCAATGTTTGTGATGGCACCGAAGTAAAAAGAAAACGGATAGACGAAGGCGTTGGTTCAAGTAATAAAGGCAAAACAATTTACTGTACATATCGATATAGGACAGCAACTAAAAGAAAAAAAATTGGAAAACCACAGCTATATCAATTAGCATATCCAGTAACTTTCATTTGTAATGAGCTTGTAAAAAATACAAAAGCCAAAAATGATGAACTTAGGAATCTTTTTATTCGTAATGATCTTATTACCGCTGAAGGAAAGTTTACTATTCAAAAACCAGAATTGGTTAATTTGCCAATACTGAGTGGTAACAATCTTCAACTTCGTTTCCATACTAATGAAGATAAACTACCATTTATATATAGAAAAAATTGCATTAAAATCTTTAATAGAGTCATGGATTTAATCGAAGAAACAAATAGTCTATATATACACGGTCCTTCTGGTTCAGGAAAGTCGTACTGCATATATTACCTTGTCGCACAACTTCGTTTAATGGATGATTATAGGGTAACATATATTAACAGTTGTGAGGAGTGGTGGAAAAGTCATGAAATGCTGCCATATCAATTTCTACTTAATGAGCTGATATATACATTTTGCAATGATGAATTAAAACCGTTTACAATGGCTGATTGGACTGAATATGTGATGTACGGTCTTACAAATAATCTAAATGAAAAACTGAACTCTCAGCCGACAAATTATTCTATTTGGGTCGAAAGGTTTAAGAAATATGCTAGCAATGATATGTATGTAACTTAACTTTTTTTTTTTATTATTGAGCCAATTTTTTAAAATCTTAAATAATATTTCAAATTGCATTTAGCAAAAATCGCTTTGAGAGATTTCTAATAGAGTTGGATACATTTGTTAACGAC